GCTTTAAAATGAGTATAGGAACTAGGTATTCTGAATCGACGTTAGAGTCACTAGAATTTCTTTTCGTAAAACTTTTCGTGTTGCATTTCTTTTGTGAGTCACTGTATTTACAGTGAACTCCGTTGTTCCGAAGTCGTCCGTAGAGTGACTATTCTTTGGCTTAGGGGGTCTTCGGATTGGCGGGGTAGCTGCATAAACCGAAGATCATATGACCAGATTATAACTCTTCAGATTAACGGGATAGGATTTTGACGGCATGCGCGATAAAGAGCATTTTAATGTACGATATTAACAGTTTTTCACTTATCAATGCACATTTATGCAAACTAAACAATTTTGATGGTGTCAAGCGTTGGCTATTATCAAAAAAAACCAAATTTATTTGTAAAATAATATTTGCAGAATAAAACTCCTAAGCATTAGACAATTGGTTGCAAATAACTTGTAATATTTGTTTGGACTTTGGCATCAATAATCGATTTACACAACATTCTTTTAACACTTTCAATTCGCAGAGATATTTTTCACTTATCTGCATATGACTTTCTTCATGTGTCAAAAAGCTTGTTAGGTTATTGATTAGTTTCACAACTTCAGCTGATATTATTATAGGTTTGATGACTGTTTCTACATCTTCTTCAATTGCTTCTTTTTCTTGAACCAAAGCAACTATTGCCTCATCATCTAGCTTATCTTCTGTTTATAGTATAAGATCAATATCCAAGTATTCTCTGACTGTAAAAGAACTTTCTGGTTGAAGATAATTGATTAAATGCTAAATAGCTTTCTTATTTGATAATGATGAAAGAATTTCTATCTTTCTGCAATTATTATTAAATTAATATTTTTTCATGTATCTGTAGCAAATCAAATTGTATCAAGTATGTTAAGCTTATATCTATCTGAATATATGCATTATATAAATCAATTTGATTTTTATACAAAATCTAGTAATATTTAGATTAATAATAAGATTAATATTTGTAAAGTCAAAAAGATTCATATAAAATACTTATCTTAAATAATATTTATATTTTATGACTGTAAAATATATTATTATATTTGATAAAAGATAATATAATATAATATTTGAAAATAAAATATTTTCATTCAGAGTATGTATTATGATATTATTTAATAAAAACAAAATTTTGTGCTATAATATCTATAACTTTATATTAAAAGATTTAAATTAATTAGAAAAAATACATTCAAGTATTTTTATTTTAATAATAATAAACTGATAATTTATTATATTTGATATTTTACATATATTTAAAAGTTTTATATTTGTAAATAAAGATTAATATTAGTTTTAATATATCTATTATATTATAAATTAACATTATTTTTTTATTCCTATAGTTGAATAGTAAGTCAGAATTTTAGAAGACTCAAGCTTTTAATATAAAGCTATCTTATTATAATTATAGATATTTTCTAAGTTTTACTTAGCTAATAGATTTTAAAGTTCAAAATAATATTAAGAAAATTAATTTAATAATACTAAGTTTATCTTATTATATTAAGTATATTATTATATATTATAATATTTCTTAAATCTATTTATTATCTATATAAATCTTTAAACTTAGTTATAATCTTCTAGTTACGTAGTTCAAATAATTCACACAGAAAAGTTGGAATATAATATTATATCAAGAAAATACGAGATAAAACCACCACCAATATTATCATCATAATGATGATAATAATTAATGATAATACTAATAATAAT